TCCGTGTGTACCTTGCCCAGTTACTGTTGCAGTCGTCGCCATCAGCACCAGAACCTTCCACTGCCAAAACCCTGATGTACACGGACCCGCCATCGTGTCAGCGTACACCACCTAGACACAGACCGGCAATTAGGGATTGCATGATATCAGTTTGAAAGTTGAAAACACTGGTACACAAAAATGGAGACAAAAAAATGATCTTAAAACAAACATCACTCCCATCAGCAAAGTGCTCTTTAACATGCTGCTATTCATTTTTGTATCGGAAGGTGTGGTTGTTGAGCAGGCCGTAATAGCGATGGAATAGCGCGGGAAGAATTGAAAATATAAACAGAAGGACAAATATGATAAAAATTGAAATAAACCAAAACAGAATCCATACCATAGAACCTACCCGTACTTGCAACAAGGGCTTACCGTGTATTAGAATTTAACGTAGCCAACACATGTGCCTAATATCAACTCAGAAGAGTAAGTCAAATAGCTAAGATCATTGATTGCTAAGTTTACATGAGACTTGTCTTTCACAGAGTCAGCAAAATATGCACAGAAATATAAACTGCTGTCAATCACAGAGCAACCTCGTGCGATTTTCGGTTTCACTGTGCCATGTGCACAAAGAAAGAAATCAACAATTAACTAATGGTATCAGCAGAATACAGCCTCCTATGGAAATTAAAAAAGTAAAATAAAGTACTTGAGTCAATAAAGTATTCTCTTGATTGTGCTATCCTTTACTTTAGTCTCTGAAGGTGCCACTGCAAGTCCTGAATATGATTAATATCGCACTGCGGTTAAGAGACTCAGAGGCGCCGATACTTGCCCAACAACTCTCGGATGACTTTAAGATCCGTCTGTGACCCCAACTTGTGCGCGTGTACACGTTTACTCCAACATGCCCTCTGTGCGACATCCCGTCTTTGAGTGCACTAAAATTTGGGAGAAAATTCTGCACGCTGACAAATACTATACAAAAACGTTTTTTAGATTTCTTTGCCTAACAGCTTTCGGTTGAACTAAAATAATTGTGTGACCTCTGCTCCGCGCACGCACCCACTTGTCCCAACATGACCCCTTTATTTACTTCGCGCTGGATTTTTCTACTAAAACTTGGCAGAAAATGCCGCATGCTGGCTCAAAAATACCCTGCAGGTACACCTCTGTACACACCCTAGACTTAAAACCAATGATCATGATATTGACCGAAAAATAGTTTTGAAAGTGCCAATAATACAAATCAAAGTCAAAGAGTGTTAAGTTAAATGTATCACACGCTTTTTTCAAATTAATCAACTAGTTGTCATCCCATTTCGAATATTTCGGTTGTTCGAATTGTAGTCAGTATACAAATTAGGAATGCCTTGATAACAATGGTACTCTGTTTGCTAAGACTGGCGCCGTGATTCGTGAGCGCCAAACGAGCTGTAAGATAACTCGGCCCCAGGACAGGTTGTCTGTAGTTTGCCTCTTCCCTGCCAAACAAGTTCAACTTAGGCCACGCAAACACAACTTTGTGCATAGCATCCGAACGCGAATCTTTCTGGTCAGTTTCCTCCCCTAAATTCACTTTTCAATTTTCATAGGGATTCACAACGATACATGGAAAACTTATAATGTACGCATCCAAGTTATAGCTAGCCTCGATTTGACTTTGAATGAGAAAGGGAGGATTACAGCGCGTGTAAAAGTTAGTTTGTTATCGTTCATTTATTCCCAACAATAAAGAAATGAAGCGCTCGTGTTTGAAGCCTATGATTAAATTACAAAACGTCAATCCTTTGACAAAACTCCATCGAGGTGCCCACAGAAATACAACCTACAAATAAGCTACCTGACGTGAGTGTCAAATCTCAGGCTTTGACCGTAATTCAATGAAAAAGTTCGATGTCTGAAGCGTGTCGTAATTACTGGGCATTACTAGTGGGGCCGCCATGTACGACGTCGGAGTTGTCACCGTGTTTTCAAAACCACGTTTTTTTTAATCGTGATTGGTCAGATGTGATTGTGTGACCCCGCATGAAAAGAACCTACACAGACACTTGAACTAAAGATGGGAGGGTCTTTACAGCTATTCTCGGTACAAATCGTTTCCTCGTGGCGTTTCCTTGTGAAGGTTCCTTGTGAAGGTTCCTTGTGAGGGTTCCTTGTGGCGTTTCCTTGTGGCGTGTCCTTGTGGCGTTTCCTTGTGGCGTTTCCTTGTGAAGGTTCCTTGTGGCGTTTCCTTGTGAAGGTTCCTTGTGGCGTTTCCTTGTGAAGGTTCCTTGTGGCGTTTCCTTGTGAAGGTTCCTTGTGGCGTTTCCTTGTGACAATTGGAACCGACACAAACACTCGAACTAAAGATTGGTGGGCCTTCACAGCGATTCTCTAACGAGGAAGCAATTAATGGCTTGGGCCTTACGTCAGATTCTAATGTTGAGCTTTACTGTATGAACTGGTGGCTCGATATCTCGAATTGGTCTCAAGAAAACGCGTCCTCTAATCACACAGTTCAAAGACCGAAGTCAACTCCATCATGGATTGCAAATCTGTACTGTCTTACCAAGGGAAAACGGTTCCCAGCAAGGCATTCAAGGAAAGTTCATTTTTTATCAATAAAGGAGGGGGGGGGCAAAGTAGTGGTCATCTTGGCCAGGTGGTCTTTATGTAGAGGTGGTTTCTAGTACAGGTTTGACTGTATATCAATGGCCATGCAGGTGGTCATTTTGTAGAGGTGTTCACTAGCACAGGTTTGACTGTTTATCAATGACCAGTTAAGTTGAATTAAGTCAAGTTCTTGAATAAATATCAAAGGTTGGACTTTTAAATTGAACCGATAGGTGGCATGATTTTAAACCACTGATAGTTCCAATCCAAACTAAACGGACTCAGTGTAGAGGCAAAAGAGCAGCTCCGCCTAGAGATCTAGTGGTTCATTGCAGTGTTCAGAACTCCGCACATACGTTGAACATATGGGACGTGGTAGGGCCATAATGGCCATGGCTGTACCTAATACGAAGGGTATTCTACATAAACCATTTATACTGAAAAAAAGGTCCCATGACTATGATACCATAAGACATGTGAATGCCGATTCACCTCTGTGTACACCCTAGACTTAAAACCCATGATCTCGATATTGACCGAAAAATAGTTTTGAAAGTGCCAATAATACAAATCAAAGTCAAAGAGTGTAATAAATGTCTCACACGCTTTTTTTTTAAATTAATCAACTAGTTGTAATCCCATTTCGAATATTTCTGTTGTACGAATTGTAGTCAGTATGCAAATTAGGAATGCCTTGATAACAATGGTACTCTGTTTGCTAAGACTGGCGCCGTGATTGGTGAGCGCCAAACGAGCTGTAAGATAACTCTGCCCAAGGACAGGTTGTCTGTAGTTTGCCTCTTCCCGGCCAAACAAGTGCAACTTAGGCCACACAAACACAACTTTGTGCATAGCACCCAAACGCGAATCTTTCTGGTCAGTTCCCTCCCCTAAATTCACTTTTCAATTTTCATAGGGATTCACAACGATACATGGAAAACTTATAATGTACGCATCCAAGTTATAGCTAGCCTCGATTTGACTTTGAATGAGAAAGGGAGGATTACAGCGCGTGTAAAAGTTAGTTTGTTATCATTCATTTATTCCCAACAATAAAGAAATGAAGCGCTCGTGTTTAAAGCCTATGATTAAATTACAAAACGTCAATCCTTTGACAAAACTCCATCGAGGTGCCCACAGAAATACAAAAGGCAACTAATATACCTTAAGTGAGTGTCAAATCTCAGGCTTTGACCGTAAAATCAATAAAAAAGTTCGAAGTCTGAAGCGTGTCGTAATTACTGGGAGGGCATACATGTATGACGTCGGAGTTGTCACCGTGTTTTCAAAACCACGCTTTTTCAATCGTGATTGGTCAGATGTGATGGTGTGACACCACATGAAAAGAACCTACACAGACACCTGAAATAAAGATGGGAGGGTCTTTACAGCTATTCTCGGTACAAATCGTTTCCTTGTGGCGTTTCCTTGTGACACCTGGCCCCTACATGTACACAGACACATGAATTAAAGATTGGTGGGTCTTTATCACAGCGATTCTCGGTACAAATCGTTTCCTTGTGGCGTTTCCTTGTGGCGTTTCCTTGTCGCGTTTCCTCGTCGCTTTTTCTTGTGGCGTTTCCTTGTCGTGTTTCCTTGTGACACCTCGAACCGACCCAAACACCGGAAGTAAAGATTGTTGGATCATTTAACAGTGATTTTCTGGAAAGGAAGCAATGGATGGCTTTGGCATTACGTCATATTCTAATGTTGAGCTTTACTGTATGATGGTTCTCCGATATCTCGAATTGGTCCCAAGAAAACGCGTCCTCTAATCACGCCGATCAAAGACCGAAGTAAACTCCATCATGGAATGCAATTCTGTACTGTCTTACCAAGGGAAAACGGTACCCAGCCAGGCATTCAATTGCAAGGAAAGTTAATCTTTCATCAATAAAGGATGGGGCAAAGTAGTAAAATACTGGTGTAGGCAAGATGGGTCTCTGACACGTGTCATGTCTAGTGGCCAGCCACTTGTTGGGAGACCGCAAAAGATATTGGCACAGAAAGTGCATTTTTGTGTATTTTATTGTCTGAACATTTCAAAAGGAAGACGTTAGTAACATTTTCTGCAGTGTTATAGATCCATAAATAACTACACACACACACACACACACACACACACACACACGCGTTATATATATATATATATATATATATAACGTGAAAATTACGCCTCCCCCGACACCTTTCACATTTTAGCTGAATTTTCCTTGAATGATTCTTGACTAGGTTGCAAAAATAAAAATGCATACTTTGTAGACTATGTTTCACCTCATATGTTCGGAAGGGGAAGAAGCAACTGTGCCATACACAGAAATGTTACCTATGACAGATTAGAGATTGGCCAGGCATCATAGAGCCACCCGGAGTTAGTCAGGGTGAATTAAGGATTGTTGTTAGTCAATGCCTGGCCAATGCCTGGCCAATTAGCCGGCGAAGGCAAAGTCCCATTGGTATGCAGACTTAATCCCCAAGCAGATCATACGATAGCGAATTCAAAGGCAGTA